CTCGCTGCTTCTGCTTGCGCTGTGGGGCCGTCTCCGCGCTGTGCTGAGCGGCGGTGGCGTCGCTGGGCAGCGGCACGCGGAGGGAACGCATGTGCGTCCCCCTCCAAGTTAATTGCTGATCCGCCGCGGATCGCCTTTGCTTCCTGGTCATGTGCGAGTTCTCCCGTTGGGTTGAACGCCGGGAACTAATTTTTTTTTTTTGCTTCTGTTTTTAAATGATTTTGTTGTTTTGCTTCGTCCCCTCTCCCCACGGAGGGGCGGGCGCCACTCGCGGCTGTCGGCTGCTCCCGCCCAGAGACGCGCAGAGCGGACGGTTCTTCGTGCGCCGCGCAGAGGAAGCGGCGGGTGGGCCGGGCGAGAGCAGGCCGGGGCGCCGCCAATGAAAAGTGGGCGCTGCGTGGGCATGAGGGGGACGTGTTGGGCTGGAGCAAACACACATGTTTTTTTTTCCGTTTTTTTTTCTTTTCGTTTTATGGGGCCGAAAATGCAGGCGGCGCGTTCTTGGCGGTGTGCGTGGCCGCTTGTATCTGCCCGTGTCGTTTTCCGTCTGCGATGACGGAACCCTCGGCAGCGGTGGGTGTTCGCGGCGCGCCCGGCCCTGCCCTCACCGTCCTGCGCGCGGGAGGCCGGGTTGAAGGGGCGCCTTCGGCAGCTCCATTTCATCGGTGCGTTTTACTGCGTGTGAGGAATGCCGAGAGGGCGCGTTTATTCCCCGCTGGCGCTTTCTGCAGCGCGGCCGCTGCGAGGCCTTGCTGAAAGTGTGGGCAAGCAAACCAACACGTAGTCCTTCCGTTGCGGCTGCTGTTCTTGTCCTCGATTGGTGGGTGGGGGGGAACTGCGGCCCAGACAGTTCTGCGCGTGTCTGCGGCCGGGCTGCCTCGTTGCTCGCCGTGTGCGGCACTGCCCCCGATTCACCGTCACTGTCTCGGGGATGTTGTCTCTGCCCTCGTCCTCCCGCCCGTGCGCAGTGTTTTTTTTTGTTTGTTTGTTTGTTTTTTTGGTTTTCAAGGCCAAACGGTGGAGTAGCGCAAGCCAAAAGAAAAACAAAAAAAAGGTCGAAAGGGAAACAGAAGGCCTGCTGGGGAGACGTGATGCCAGAGGCGAGGCAGACGGACTACTTGCTGGACGAGCATACGCCTGCGCCCCCGCTGGAGTTCCTGCTGAAGTTGCAGCTTTTTCGCACGGTGCTGGTGAACTTCATTGAGTGGAAAAACTTCGAGGAGGTGGTGCGGGGGTGTTTTGTGCGCGTGCTGCTTGAGATGCGGAGCGAGGACGTGCGCCGGGACAACAGTGATCACTACTACATTGCCTGTGTGAAGGGGGCGAGGCGTGGCCCGAAGTACTCGGGCTTCTCGGCCGACATGGCCAGCACGGAGTGGCACATCGTCATTGAGCTCCCGCCGTGTTTCCGCGCCACGCAGAACGGCAATGTGGTGCAGCTGAACTCCATCTCGAACTCTCCCTTTCGTCAGTCAGAGTACCAGCAGTGGGTTGAAATGACGCGAGAGGCTGGACTCTCCTTCATGAGCATGCCACAGCTGCAGTTTCGTCTTGACCTGCTGGAGGAGCACAAGCAGCAGGCGCTCGTCTCGGAGCCGCGCCGCAAACGCTACGGGGAGGACCCACAGACGACCGAACGGCGGGAGCGGGCACTCAACGCCCTTCGAGAGCAAATTAAAGCGGAGGTTGTCAACACCCACGTACAGATGCCGTCTATTAGTGGACTGCAGCTGTGTCCACTGGAGCAGCTCCAAGAAGTTGAACGGGAAATGCTTGAGATGATTAGCCGCGTACGCATGACCATTAATGAACGGTCGAAGTGTATGGTATGTCACAGGCGCCTTTGCACTGTGATTTGTTACCCGTGCAAACATCAGGTGTTGTGCAAGGACTGTGCGGAGCATATCTGCGGCAAATGCCCTGTGCCAAGTTGCTCGATTCCCGTTCAAGAGACCTTCGAGGCCTATACCTCGTAGTAGTACGCCCGCTTTCCCACTTTTTCTCTTTTTCTCTTTTTCTCTTCGTCTTCTTCTCTCGATTTCGCCCAATGCACCCCCTCACGGTTTATGCGACGACCGCATGTGTCTTGGTTCTGCTCACGTACTTGGCGCGAACCACCACGGACACACGAGCCTCTCCGTCACGTGGCTCGAGGCGTGCGTGTTTCTTCCATCCCCCCCCCCCATTTCTTGACTTTTTTTCTGTGTTTATTTCGTTGTGTATTTGCCGCCTACCCGTTTTATTTTTCTTCTTCGTCTCTTGACTCTCGCTTTCGCGGCTCGCTGGGCCCAGAGCGGAGCGAGAGGGGGTGGGGTGCGGGCGTGTGCGTCGTCGCCGCCGCCGAATGTGCTGAGTCTGTCTGTCTGTCTGTCTGTCTGTCTGCGTGTGGGCGGAAGGCGGCGATAGCACAAAAATGGCCGGCGCAGTTAGAATTCGTGCGCGTGTGTGGGCGTGCCTCGCTGCGGGGAAGGAAGAGATAATGGGGGCAGGGGGGGGGGGAAGCCGGTGGGGAAAACCTGCGACCGTTCCGGAACTAGAGACTAAAGCAGGCGTTCCTTCTTTTTTTTTCTTTTACTGTTTACTTTGCCGCTGCCGCTGCGTGCGTGTAAACCTGCATGGGCCTGTAGTTTGTGCCTTTGATCTTTTTCTTTTTCTTCTTTTTTACCCCCCGCAGAGGGAAGGCGGACGCTGGAAGCATCGTTCCACGCACACGCGTAGCTGCATATCTGCGCGGCAGGGTGCGATGGAGCGTCTGCTTCGGATCGTCCCGGAGCGGGAGTGGTGCCGCAGGAACGAGGTGGGCGTCTGCCAGCGCCCCGGCTGCGGGCGTAGTTTCACGCTGCTCAGTAGGCCGGCAAACTGCCACGCGTGCGGCATGGTGATGTGCGCGCAGTGCCTGAAGCGGCGGCTGACGTTGCCAGGAAGGCCCGGCTCCGCCCCGGTGCCGCTTTGCCACGCCTGCGCCATCGGCGTCTCCAACGCCCAGGCAGAGGCGGAGCGCGCCTACCAGCAGCGGGGGCAGCTGCTGCAGAGGCTGGAGGAGCAGCAGGCGGAGCTGGAGCGGCTCTTGGCGCTCTCCGCCTCGCTGCGGGAGGAGAACCAGCGGTTGGTGGAACTCACAGAGGCGCTCGCGGCCGGCGCACCGTCGCCTGCTGCGCCGCCGCAGGCAGCCGTGGAAGGGGCTTCCGGTGGGGAGCAAAGCGGCCGCGTCGATGACGGCGGCGCAGCAGGCGACGGTGCGCCGGCCGCCACTGCGGGTGGTGCTCGCACGGCGACGGCGGAGGAAACGGCGCTGACGGAGGAGTTGCAGGCGAAGCACAATGCGCTCTCCAGGCGAGAGGCGGCTCTGCAAGAGGCAACAAAGAAAGTCGCGGGCGACGCCGCACGGGTCGCGGCACAGCGGACGCAGCTGCAGCAAGAGGAGCGAAGGCTACGGGCGCAGTTTGCGCAGGAGTTCCAGGCGATCATAGGGGAGGAGTGCCTGCGGCTGCAGAATGTGTACATGGAGGAGCTGACTGGTTTGGGCGACCAGTTTGCGGCGTGGCGGCGGGACGCCCATGACGTGTTGGAAGCCGTGAGGCTGCAGCACAAGCACAGTGACGGTGACGCGGTGCCGGCACACTCGGCGCAGCTGGCGCAGGCCGAGGAAGCCCTGGCGCAGGCCCGTGCGTCGCATAGGGAAGACCTCCTCAGGGCAAAGAAGCGCTTCGATGATGACAGTTTCGTGCTTGGAAGCGCGTTGGGTGTCGCGCAGCGCGAGGTTGAGGCGGAGAAGAGGCGGCTTGCGGCGGCCCAGCACACCGTGGACGGGCTGGCGTTGACACTGCAGGAGCAGCAGCAGCGGCACGACGCAGCCTGCACGGAGTGGGGGGAGAGGCTGGCAATTCTGCACTCGCTTCACGGATCGTGGCGGCAGCAGCTGCTGCTGCAGCCATCTCCGTCTGCGGCGGCGGCGGCGGCGGCGGCGGCGCACCAGGGCGAGACGACGGACCACGCCGCCGCGGCAGCACGCGCCATGTTGTCTGGGTGGCGGTGTGTGGCGGCGGCGCTGCTCAGTCAGCACGGCGCCTCCCTTTCGGCGCTCATGCTGGTCGCGCGTGAGGCCTGCGGTCTCGCGGAGTTTCCCCCGTCACCGCCGCCAGCGGAGCAGAAGCCGGTGGCAAAGGCAGCTGCTGCGAGCGACGCCGGCGAGCACGCGGGGGACCTCGTGAAGCTGCGCCGTGAGTTGAGTAGCGCCCGGCGTCTCTCGAGGGGCTTCGAGGCGCGGGCGAACGCGCACGCCGTGGAGGTCGTTTCCCTCAAACGCTCGCTGGCGCTCAAGACGGAGGAGCTGCAGGAACTCCGTGCGAGGCTGTCACGGACCGCGAAAGCACTTGTGCGGGCAAGCCGCATCGAGAAGCACGTCTCGCGTCAACTTCAGCAGCGGCACGAGGAGGAGGAGCCGTTGTCAGCCGATCAGGATAACGGGGGCGCCTCCGCCATTCGCTTCGCCGCGGGGATGGTGCACCACGGCAGCCTGTACATGGACGGCTGCATGAGTCTTCTGAGCGCGGCGCTTCTCAGGCGGTACGCCGCGGGGGTGCAGGGAATGCAGGAGGAGTGGGCAAAGCGGCGCGACCTCACGCGACGCAACACGGTGGCCCTCGAGGAGACGACAGCGAGCATGAAGGCCCTCCAGGAAGACTTGCGGCGGCGTGAGGCGGCGGCTGCACGGCTCGAGGGGGCGCTGCGCGCACGGGAGCGGGAAGCACGTCTCCGCCTGAGTCGCCTACTAAAAGTTTCAGTGGCGCTGCGGACGGTGGCCAGCCGCCTGCGCGCCGTCTCTACAAGTGAAGAGGCAGGCAGTTCCCTGGACGGTGGCGCGTCGTAGTCGGCTGTCACTCGAATAGCGTTGTTGTTGTTGTTTTCGGTTATTATTTTTTTTTATTCCTTTTCCTTTGGCTGCTATCGAACATTATTCTCACGTACTGGCGGGAGCTTCGCATTTTCGTTTGTGTGTTGGTTTGCTTCATGGCAGTGCACCTCCTCCCCCCTTTGTCTCCTTGTGTGCACGCCTCTCTCCCTTCTTTTTTCTTTTATGTTTCCGAATGTTTTTTTCTTCTGCTTCTTGCCGCCGTTGTTGTTGCTGCTTTGCTTCCTCCCGTGGGGCAGGTAGAGCGAGAGCGTGCGGGAAGGGTGGTGGTGGTGCGACTGCCGCCGCGGGGGCTCCTCACACACGTTGCTTCATTCATTCACCTACACATACGCGCCTCTCTCTCTCTCTCTCTGTGTGCGTGCGTGCGTGCGTGCGTGTATACACACACACAGAGAGATATATACAAATATATATACGCCACGCCTGACGGCGGGTAATGTCTAACTTCTCACGTGAGGCGACAAAAATTTTGCGGGCAGCGGAGGACGCACTTTCCGGTAGACGGCCGGCGGCGCAGCAGGAGGTGTGGGAGCGCTGCGACGACGTCAAGGGCGCGGCGCCCGGCGCTCCGCCGGTGCTGGAGCTGCAGCGCCAGCTCCGCGTGGCGGTGGCGGAGATCGGGGACCTCCGCAGCGAGCTGTTGGCGGAGCGGGAGTCCCGCTCGCAGACGATCGCCGCGTTGGGGCGGCGTTGGAAGGAGGAGATGCTGGTGGAGCTGCGCGCCGCGGGGTACCAGTCGCGCCGCGCACTCGCGGAGCTCGAGGCGAACGTGCAGCAGCAGCGCAAGGAGGAGGCGACGGCGCGGGCGGTGATGCAGCGGCAGCTGGACGAGGCCCTCCGCTGCGCCAAGGTGCGGGACCGCTCGCAGTTCGAGCAGCAGGAGCGTCTACAAGAGCAGCTGGACGGCCTTCGCGAGCGGCTGGAGGCGGCCGTGGCGGAGTGCGGTTTGCTGCGTGTGGAGTCGGCGCAGCAGCTCGAGAAGGAGCGCGCCGCCCTCGCCCAGCGGCTGGACGTGGAGCTGCTGCGGTACCTCGACATGCGCCGCGACGACCAGCGGGAGCGTGAGGCGTTGAAGCAGCAGCTGAGGGCGGACGTCGCCGCGGCAGGCGGCCAGGTGAAGGAGCTAGTCGACGCGGCCTGGCGAACCCACGCGACGGCGCTTGAGCGCACCCTGCGCGAGCCGCTGGACGGCTTCGCGCGGCAAATTGCACGTCACGAGGAGCTCGTCGCCGGCGTGGACGCCAAGGTGCACGACTGCACCACCGCATGCCACGCGGAGGTGCGACTGCAGACGGTCACGCTGAAGGAGCGCCTGGGGGCTTTGGAATCCAGCAGCGCCGTCACCGCCTCCCGCATGGACCGCGCGGAGCGCAAGGCGGACGCTGCGCAAGAGGCCGTGAGTCGCGTGGACGCCAACGTCGGTGTTGCGCGCGACACGGCGGAGCGGGCGCAGGCGCAGGCGCAGCGGGCGGCGGAGCGGGCGCAGCGCATGGAAGACACCGTGCAGGACCGTGATGCGCGGTTGACGCAGATTGAAAGCCAACTTGGCGCTGCCGCGACGGCGGAAAAACTACGGGCCGAAATCGAGGGCGTTCGCCGCGCCGCACTACGCGCCGAGAGCGGCGTTGATGCGTTGCGGCAGGTGTGCGAGCGCGACGAGCAGCTGGCGGAGCACACCCGCCGTGTGGTTGAGGGCTACACGGACCGAATAGAGGGGTGTGAGCAGCTGGTGCACCGGCTTCGTGCCGCGGTGGAGACGGTGGAGGGACGCGTGCCGCAGCTGCAGCAGCGCACCGCCGCGCTAGAGGAGACACGCGAGGGCCTCGTCGCCTCCGCCGCCCGCCTTGACGATGTGGTGGCGCAGGTTGGTCAGCGTGTGCAGAGCGTGGAGGCGGCGGCGAGGGGCGTTGGCGAGCGCCTCGAGCAGTCACGGCGTGACGCCCTCGCCGGACTGCAGTCCGTCACCGCGCGGCTGGAGCACGCCAATGACATGGCACTGCGTAGCGAGACGAGCAGCGCGGCGGCGCGCGCGGAGGTGGACCGCATGGACCGTCGCATCCGTGAGATTGAGTCACAGGCGGGGCGCTTCTCAGCCGACGCCACGGAGCTTCGCGCGGCCGCCGAGGACCACGCGAAGGGCGTCGCCACGCTGCTGAGCCGCCTTCAGCAGACACGCGAGTGGCAGGAGCAGCGTGAGGCCCGCGTGGATGCCGCCATGGAGACGGCCGAGGCGCAGCTCACCACGATCACGGAGCAGATGTCTAGCCGGCTGGAGACGAAGCTGCAGCGGGAGCTGCGGCGGCTGCAATCCGCCTTGGAGGAGCGTGCGTCGGCGTTGGAGGTGCTGCTGGAGGCGAAGGTGGCCCCGCTGGAGGAGGAGGTGGCGAAGCTGCACACCTCGCGCGAGGGCGAAGATGCCGCGCAGGCGCTCTCGCGGGAAGTGCGGGCGTGCAGGTCGAGGCTTGAGTCGCTCGAGGCCGCCCTCGCCGCGGTGCGCGACGCCGCCGAGCGGGAGCACAGGGAGTACGCGCCGCTTCGCGACTGCAACGCCCTGCGCAAGACGGTGGCGCTGCTCGAGTCGCAGCTGCACGACACGCGCGACGAGGCCGCGGCGCAGCAGCAGGCGTGCGAGGACAGTCAGGCGAAGCTGCGCCTGCTGGAGGGGGAGCAGCGGCGGCTGCGGCAGGCGCTGCTGGAGGTGCAGGTCTCGCTGCGCGACTGCCGCGAGGAGGCGCAGGCGGCCCACCGCACCCTCGCCACCGCGTCCTCCCCGCCAGCGGCGAAGGCCGGCGCGGCCGCTGCAGAGGACGTGTGCCGGCTGAGGGAGATGCCGACGCCGTCGGTCGAGATTCGAGAGGTGCGCTCCTCCGACCAGCGCGGCAAGGCGGCGCCGGCGTCCGGCAGCGGGACAACAGCCACGACACCCCGCACGCACCCACAAACCTCCAGCACCGACGTGGTGGCCCGCGGCAATCGCAATGACTCCCCCGAGGCGCAGCCGCCACCACCGTCGCTGGAGCAGCAGGAGGACTCGCGGAGAATCAGCTCGAGTGCGGCCACTGCGAAGACGACGACGACGACGACGACGACGACAACGACGGGGTCGCGCCGATTGAAAACTTCCGTTGGCGAGGCGGCCGGCCGGCGGCAGGAGATGGCGTGGTCCGAGGCGGCGAGCGGCAACTCGGCTGACGCGGCAACCCCGCCGGAGCGTGCGCGTGCGGTGGCCGCGGCGCCTGCCCCCGCTGCCGCCCCTCCAGCCACAACGCCCCTCCGCGGCAGCGGCGGCGACCAACGCGCGGATGCGGGAGATCTGCCTGCCGGCGCGGTGGCGCAGGCGGCATTGATGCAGCCGCCCCACGAGTCGTCCAGCAGCGGCGGCTCATGGGAGGAGCGGGCGCGTCAGGCCCGTGGGGGTCCGTCGCGGCCGCGGGCGGCGGGCGTCGACAGCGCGAGTGAAGCGGAGAAGAGTCTTGTGGCGCCTTTTACCGCGCCCGTCGAGAAGCGCGCGAGTGCGGCCTCGGTGGCCCCCGTGAGGGCCACGGCAGAGGAAACTCATCCAGCGAAGCCGACGACCGCGTGGTACGACGACTGGGATGACAGCACCGAGAGCGAGCAGGTGCCGTCGGCGAAGAACGAGCAGCAGGGCGAGGCGGCGTCGGGGGCTGCTCCCGTCACCGGCGCCCAGCCCTCCTCGCTTGCCAAAAGAATTTACTTCACGCCGCGCAAAACTTTCGTGACGTCCAGCAAAAATTCACCAGAGACGGAGGAGGAGGCGACCTCCGTGCCACGCCACGGCGTCGCGACGTCCAACTCGTCGTCCTCCGTCGAACTCAAGAAAAAGGCGGCGACGCCGGCCTCTGCGCCAAAGCGCTTCACGAGCTTTGACGACACCACTTCCGAGGACGAGGAAGATGAGGAGGAGGAGCGGGCATGACAACTCAACGCAGCAATCGCTGCTGCTCTGCTGCAGGAACTGTGCATACACGTATATATATATATATGTAGTAGAGAGAGAGAAAACAAACAAAACAAAAGACGAAAGGGATCGAGTGCGAGGTTGTGCGGCTCTGGGTGGGTCGGTGAAAGGTGAAAGCGTGAATTGTCAACGCCTGCGTCAGCCGCAGGGTGGTGTCTTTCCCCTCATGCCTTTTCTCTTCATGCCCCTCATTGCCGCTATCTGCTCAACCAAAAGAGTGGGCCTCCAGAGCGAGGCGAAGAGGTTGAGTAATAGCGAGCAAGGGATTTACAAAAAAAAAGATATATTATTATTCCCCCTTCTGCTTCCTTAAACGGAGCCTGCAGCGGGGAAAGGGACCCGACGGGAAAATGTATTTGGTTGGCATTCTTGGCTGTTGCATTCTCTTGTATGGGCCGCTATTAATCGCCGCTGCCGTCGTGCTTGCAAGGCATCCACAGCTCCTACCCTTGGTGCTTGCTGCCGCCTTTGTCGCGCTTCTTAGTCCTTTCCTCACGGGGTTGCTTTATCTCGCGATAAAGCGGGCATCGTTGGCGCCGTTGTTTATCGTCGTTAGCGTCACTGTCAGCGAAGTGCTGCGGGTGTGGCTGCTTCTCATCTTTTACCGCGTGGAGTTGCTGACGCGTCGTCATGGCCAGCTGCTCGCCTTCAGCCCCATGCGCTTTGCGCTCGTCTCTGCCGCCGTGGGATATGGGTTTGGGGCGGTGTCTGCCATGCGCGGGGCGGGGACGCTGCTTGACTCCACGCGAAGGTTGACGTTCTACACGCGGGGGACGACGGCGTACGACCTGGGCCTCTGCCCCCGTCTCCCGCTGCTGATGCACAGCACCCTGCAGTCTTTTATGCTGCTGCTGTGCCAGGTGGCGTGGGGGGTGATGACCGGGCAGGCCGTGGCCGCGTTGCAGGAGCCGCGGCAGCCGCGGAGGGGATGGCGCCGACTGTTGTGCCTCTGCGGCGGCAGCGCGTACGACAGAGCTGCGGTTGTAGTGGACCAGCTGGAGCCGTGTCCCGACACGCCGTCCACGCCGATGGAAGGCGACGTTCCGCCGCGGTCGCCTGGGGCGGAAAAGACACCGCCGCCGCCGCCCTCTTTAGCTCCTCTCTGTATGGAGGAAGAACCGCCCGCCCCAGCTTTCCACGAGCGGGTTCAACGCACTCAACGAGAGGAGGAGGCGGCGGACGGCGAGGCGGACGACGCGAAGATGGCAGAGGGATATTTGGGTCCGCTACCAGCGCCTGTGGTGGCGACTAACGACGGCGGTGGCTCCCAGCCGCTGCTGTCACCGCAGGAGAGGCCGCCGACGCCGCTCCCTGAGCCCACGCTGTTGTACAAGACCCCACTTCTGGCGGTGGCCTCGCTTGGCGCCGCCTTTCTGTTGCATCTGGGCTTCGCGCTTGCCTCGCTGCTCAACCTGGCTGCCCACAACGTGGGGAGAAGAGGCGAGGGGTCACTGCGTGGCTGTGTGGTCTCTCTGCCGCTCCAGGCCACCATCACGGCGGCCTCGCTTCTCTGGATGGCCGCTCTGATACGCCTGGAGCGGGCCAGGGTGACCTGCGCAGGAGTCTGACACGGAGGTGTGCAACGATGAGGAAAAAAGAAAAGGAAGAAAGAAAACCACTCTGCAACTGGGCCGCAGTTTTCACAGCAGTGTTTTTTTCTCCTTTTTTTTAAGTATGTTTGTTTTCTTTCTTTTTTTTGCTTCTTTTGCTGCCACTGTGTGCTGGGCAGCTGCAGCGCCTCGCTCTGCGCATCTTCTGCCGCCTAACTCGTTTCCCGTGTCTTTGAGTGCGGCAAGCAGTCTTTTCCGGCAGGCCTTTTCTGCTGCCACGCGAACGCATAAAGCGAAAGTCACGAAAAGAAGAGGATAAGTTTATTTGCATAGTTTTTTTCTTCTTCTTTTTGGTCTCCGTTAGGGCCTGCAGGCGGGTGGGGGATGCCTCTGGCGACGGTGGTCGTGGACGTGCCCACGGCGGTGTGGGAGAAAACAGCCGCACAGCCGCCGCGTGGTCCGTGGGTGTCGCGGTGCGACGATCTGTCGTGTGCCACTTCGGGCCCCGAGAGGCCGCTGCGGCCCAAAGCCGAGAGCTGGGAGACGGCGGTCGGGCAACTCCCAGTGGCGGGGACTCGTGCGACGGAGGCGGCCGCGGCAGGAAGGCCGCATTCCTCCCAGTCGTCTGGCTCCAACGGCGAGCAGGCGTTGCCGCCGCGGGCTCGCCCCGTTGACGGGGATGAGCCGCCAGTGTTGAACACCGACACATGCGTCCTTCTGCCCCTGCTAGACCGCAAAGGGGCGGTTGACTTCTCTGGCAGGCAGCTTACCGCACTGCCGTGCGTGCACGACGTGGCCGCCAAATGGAGGCACGGCAGTGGCAGTAAAGCGGCGGTGCAGGCGCGCATGCTGCAACTCTCGCACAACAGCATCACCTCGCTTTTTGCGTCACCGGCGTCACTGGCGCCAGCGCAGCCCATCGCACTTGCTGCCTTCACGAAGCTTGTGATGCTGGATGTGAGTCGCAACGAGCTGACGAGCCTTGCCGGCGTGGAGCAGATGAATTCCCTCCGCGTTCTGCAGGCCTCACGCAACAAGATTGAGGACCTTGGGCCGCTCTTCGGTCCGGATTCTGGTCTACGGCGGTCGGCGGCACTGCGGGTGCTTGACGTGAGCTTCAACCAGCTCCGCACCCTGCTGCCGGACCCGGTGGACAGTGCAGATAATTCCCTGCGTTGCGTGCACACGCTTGTGCTCTCCTACAACCATCTCACACGGCTGAGTGACTTGGATAGGCTCTTTCCCGACCTCCTGGAGCTCCGCGTGACGCGGAATCAAATTATGGAGCCACCGCAAGCTCTCCCGAAACGAATCTCTCGCCTCGACCTCCAACAGAACTACCTAGACGAGGCCGCCCAGGGGCGCGTGCGTGAGCTGCAGCGACGCATGCGCTACCTGCGACAAGTTGACTTGGATGGCCAGCGAACACGGCAGGAGGTCGCCGCCGAGGCCGACAACACCACCGGTGCTGAGGGCATCCAAGGCAGCGAGAGCGAGGCGGGTGCGAGGGACGCTGGCGAGGTTCACCACCACCATGCCGTTGCCGTTGACGATGGCGCGACCGAGAATGCGAGCCTAGACACGGTGGGCGTGGGCTCTCTGCCTCGCACAGAGGAGGAGGGGCGGTGCGGAGGCGCAGGGCAGTTGTGCTTGCGGGAAGCGGGTGCTCAACCCCGCATGCGCCGCGCCCCGCCACACGACGCGTCTGTGGCGCCCGCAGCATCGATTTGGCAGCCGGATCTCCGATGGCTGGAAAAGGCCCCGCCGAAGGTGGCCGCCATACTCGCGTGCGCCTTTGCGGCCGCCGCGCTGCGAACTTCTTCTCGCACTTCCCACTTTTGGGTGCAGCCGCGGGTCGTCGCGACGGGGCTCACTGGGGCGCTTGCCCTCATCCATGAAATCTCCCAGACGGAGCTGGCGGGGCCGTGCCTCCGCCTCTACCTTGGCGACCCCAACCGAGGGGGCGTGGCAGCCGCCGCCGAAACCCCCGCGGCGCCGTGGGCGTTGACGCGGAAGGCGCCTTGCCTGCCTCTGGCGCACTCGACGGCGGCAGCGCAGGGGACGGTGGAGAATGTGAAGGCGGTAGAGGAAGCGGACGCGGCTGGGAAGGAGAACGCCCCGCCGCAGCAGCGGCAGCGAGGGAAGGCGCCGCCACTAGAAAAGCTAACGGTGCCTCCCAGCTCCGCCCCGCCGCCTATGCCGAAGCGAAACATCTTCACGCGTGGGGCGTCCGGCCGGGAGTGGCTCATCGACGAACTGAAGGCACCACTCAACTGGAGTGAGACGAGTCAGTGCCACCGCCCCTCTGGCCCGTGCCTGACGCGGCGCACAAAGCAGGAGCGAATTGATAGGCGTCGAAAGGGCCCTGCTCTCAGCGACGCACCGCAGGGCCAGAAGCCCACCTTTGGCCGCACCGTGCTGTGATAACAGTCCTCCCTCCTCCACCTCCTCCTCTTTTCTTCCACGAGTGTTTGTGGCTATGCACGTCCTCAGGCCGAACACGCCAGGAGGAGGGACTGGGGAGGGACGAAGCAAAACACGCACTAACGGAGGAAAACATTTTTTTCATGGGCGTCGCGTCTGCGGAAGTTCCCGAGCAGACGCACAAGAGTGGTGGAAGGAAAAAAAAAGCAACGGAACAGAGCTCGTGGGCGCGGCAGCTGGATGACATTTTTACGAACACGCGTGGGGCGAAATGTATTCGCGTGCATATATATATATATATATATGCTCAGGTGGATAGCCGGTGGTCCTGCGTGTGCGAGTGCCTTCTACCTCGCTTTTTG